AGAGACTCACTAAGGTTACAATTTTCCTTATAAGCAAGTATGTTTGAGGGAACTGCATATGAAATCTCAAATACAAAGGAAAAATTTTACAAGTGATTTGCTATTGTGATCCTAAACATGCTTAAAATCACAATGCTGGAGGATCAACAATTTGGTGTGTACTCAATCATGTGTGAGAAATTGATCCATGGCATAAGAAGTATGAAGCTCGTTAACTTTCAGGTGTATATGTTAACAATATGAAATGAGCATGTTAACTCTCTATATGTTGGCTGAAAATGTTGACGTTAACCTGAACATGTTAGCTTTCACGTGAGCATATTAAGTTTTATCTGTATATGTTAACTTTCAGGTGTATATGTTAACATTCACGTGAACATGTTAACTATCAGCTGTATGTGTTAACTTTCATCTACATATATTAACTTTCTTATGAACATGTTAACTTTCAGCATAGTATGTTAACTTTCAGCATAGTATGTTAGTTTTCTTATGGAGATTATTTGATAGGATGAATGACATGAACTTGATTTTAAAACCCAATTTAATTGGATCTCGCAAGTTTGTTTGTGTTTCATCGAAGTTGTAATATGTGAATTTGTAAGAATATTCATATTGTGTACCCAAGCAATATCACCTGAAAGAAGTTTTAAAAGTAGCTTATCTTTTTTTTTGTTTTTTCGACTATGTTATCTTTCAGCTGAATAAATTATCTTTCACGTGAACATGTCAACTTTCTTCATCACGTGTTAACTTTAATCTGAAGATGTTAACTTTCATCCTAATATGTTAACTTTACTGAAGATGTTAACTTTCATCCTAATATGTTAACTTTAATTATTACATGTTAACTTTCATCATTATATGTGAACTCTTCTCGTAACATGTTAATCCAAAATTAAAACAACATACAAAAATGAAGACAAACATATGCCTCATTGTACTAACATACGTGTATTAGAATCGACGCATTGAAACTTCAAGAATAAGAAAAAACCCACTAAAGTAAAACTTGCTACAACTTCTCATGATATCTTAAACATATGTAAATCATTCAAGCCCACAATTATAGGTCATTAATATTATTCTACTCAGTTTCGAGTACAACAACAAAAAAATAACTAATAAACCATAAGTTCTTACAAGTTCAGACATATTTTCTTATACAAATATCTTACAAAAAACACTCCAATCTCCATGCAAATCTATAAATTTTAGTATACATGCAATCTTTAGAAAGAAGTTGAGCTTGATCTTCGCAGTTGATGTTTTGGTTCTGGTGGTGGCGCAGAATGTAATATTGTTCTCTTCTTCAAGTCGTGAGACCTTGATCTCCAGTTCATTGGTGTATGTTTATCCATTACAAAAACACGCTTCTCTCAAAACACAACACATTCATAAGATAAGAAAAAGTAATCATTCTGAGAAAAGTTAGCATGTTATGAAGAAAGTTAACATATTATTATGAAAGTTAACATATAACAGTGAAAATTAACATATTATGATGAACGTTAACATGTTTAGCTGGAAAGTTAACATGTTACGAGGAGAGTTAACATATAATGATAAAAGTTAATATGTACCAGTTAAAGTTAACATAGGATACATGTCATGTTCTTATTGATCATGTTCTTGTTGATCATGAGATTTGACAGACATTCTATGTTCTCATGAGATTTAACATTAATCAAAATTTTACTTATTTTGTCACAAATAAGAGACAACCAAACCGTATGGTTAGATAAATAGCACAATTATTAAGAGACAACCAAACCGTATGGTTAGATAAATAGCACAATTATCGGCTGGAGCTTTTAGATGTTATAAATGTTGTAGTACTAGATTCACAAAGGTAACTGTAGGCTGTCTAAAAATCACAATAGATAGCTGATTCCCCATTAAACACCGATGATGGAAGTTACAATCTGACGACTTTTAGAAGGCTACAATTTGAAGACTTTCACGTTGATCGATGAAGGTTACAATCTGACGACCTTCACAACAACTGATGAAAGCTCTAATCAATAACCTTCACAATCAACATAGGGAGTTATAATCTGACGACTCTCACATATCAAAGAGTTAAAGTAAAGATTACAAAATGATGATCTTTGCAACGCTATGACAGAAAGAGACTACAAATCGACGGTCTCTTCAAACAAAGACGTGCAAGTCCTCCCAGCGTACCATCATCAAGACGCAACACCAATTCGACCGCAGACGCAGGTCAAACCTGGCTGCAAACGCAGCTCACATTCAGCTCCAAACGCTACAAACGCAGCTCAGATCCAGCTACCAACGCAGTTCATGTTCGACCACAAACGCAACCTCCGAAAGCTGCCAACACAACTTCCATCCGCTGCCAAACGCAGCTTCCATCCGCTGCCAAACGCAGCCCTCCGAAAGCTGCCAACACAACTTCCATCCGCTGCCAAACGCAGCTTCCATCCGCTGCCAAACGCAGCTTCCAAATGCTACAAACGCAGCTTTCAGATGCTGCAAACAAGCTTCCAGACACTGCGTTTGAACGCAGAATTCATGCCAGAACGCGGATTTTGCGTTTGACTTGTTCAAATACGAGCTGAACGGTTTCAAAACCATTTCCCACGATCTGAGGGGATCACAACTCCACTCAGGAGTAATTTAAGGGGCGGTTACATCCCATTAGCCCCACTTAGGAGTGAATTAACCCCTTAATCCCTTATAAATAACTAAGAAATCAGCTTAGTTAGGGGGATCTTTCATCCTTCTTTTGGGTAGCAAAGAAGAGATCATTGGCTTGTCTAACCAATTACGGTTAAGATCAATCAACTCATCAAGAGTTTCAAACTTGCCACGCAAGTCCTCCACAGTGTCAAATAGTGAGAAGAAGACCACGTTCCAGTGAATCAAGATGTTCGGATAGTCAACGGAGAGCAAATTCGACGCGAGCATTCGAGGGAGGCACTCCATCGCCACCGTGAAGAACCCAGAATTAAACAAAGAGGAGAATCAAATTCATTCTCCTCTCTTTTATAATCAGGAAATCCAATTGTAACTGAGATTAAAGGAATACAAATAAATTTTCCTTCATTTCTTTTACTGTAAATTTTTTCTACAAACAGTAACGTCAGTTGATCATAAAAAACTTGGTAAAATAAAAATTCTAAGCCCTTGCAAAACACAATCTTACAGTTAAGAACACACCAAAAGAGAAAATTAGTAGCAAATTCTCAAAGTAACAAATGAGCACGACAAAACAAATACTTTTTCTCTTCTCATATATAATGAACAACGAAGAGATGGTGGTTAATTCCTTAGAGGGTTGTGGTCCTGGGGACATAGACTTACATTGGTCATACCACAGAGTCCCAAGACTCCCAAATAAATTTTCACATGTTTATGTGTAATACTAATCTTATTACTTTAGTGAAGCAAAATGACAAACAACTGGTGTGTAGGGCACAAAAGAGCCACAAGAATCAAACACACATATATAATCATAGGAAAGTGGGTTACACCATGAACCTGCACCTATAAAACCACTCAAAGGAAAATAAAATTCAAGAACTGAAATAATTAACCACTCACCTGATCACCATCTTCAACGTTAATACACTCCCCTTTCGCCCACTTCATTTGCCTCCAAATCTCCGATGCCTTGAACTGAAACTCCTCCCTGCTAGTCGAAAAATAAACTGAAGTAAGTCTCCATATCTCCCCGGCACTTAGGTCACCACTCCCTTCCACCAGACTCCGTTATAGAACGCCTCGACGCACTGGTGGAGCTCGAAATCAGTAGCGAGATTCGCCGTCGGAGGCTGCGGCCGTATCATAGTGTGAAGGGTCTTCTCCTCGAGAGGCTTGAGGGGTATGAGATGTTCAGCGATGAGAGTAGAGTAGGAGACGATGATCGATCATTGGCCGGCGATTGAGAGAATGATGGCGAAGGACCGGGTGACGTTGGAGAGGGTCTGGTCGAAGTAGAGGGCGGCGGTGGAGGACCACCACTAGGAGAGGGAGGGGGAGGGGGAGGAGATTGAGAGGAGGAGGAGGGGAGGAAATTGAAAGGAGATTGAGAGGAGGAGGGGAGGAGGAGGGGGAGGAGTTGCAACCAGATTGAGAGGAGGATGAGGGGAAGGAGATTGAGAGGTGGAGGAGAAAACCACAGAGAAGAAGAAGAAGAAGAAGATAAGGGAGGAGTATTTTCGGAATGTTTTGGGATGTATTCATGGAAGAGTATGAAAAGGGGGTTGAACACATTTTTTAGGATTTTAAGGGTTAAAGAGTAAGAAAAAAAGATGGGGGGTTAGGCCACATCCCATTTATTTCTTTAGGGCCTAGACACAATTTTCCCTAAAAAGAATTATGGTAGTTTTATAGGGGAAAGCCCCTAAAATTTTATGACATTTTAAAGAAATTTATCATTTTCACTGTGTTCTTGTCTCAAGTTTCTGAAATTTTCCGTACTATGTTTCTGTAAGGAAAAAATAAAATTCAAATTAGAAGTGCCGAAGTAAAATTCTGACTAAGCTTCTCAAAGTGAATGAAGTTTTTTTGGTAGTTTTATATAGTTTCAAGTTAAGATTGAAATATAGTTACAAAGTTAAGAAAGCTAGAATATTCAGACATTTAGGAGTACCAACTACTTAGTAATAATTAAATGAGTTTTGCTACATGGACTCAAAATATGAGAGCAAGAGAGGGGACATGTGAGGTGTCCCCTCTTATTGAATAATGAGTTGGCCATTATTAATGATGATTAGCTTATTATTCAATAGAAGGATTTAATAATAATCAGATTATTATGCAATAGGAAGGGACACCTCACCTGTCCCCGCTCCTGATCACATATTTTAGTCCTTGCCTAAATTTTCTAATCAAACACTATCCGTTTTGATGAGATCCCGTCTAAAAAAAGTTCCGATCAAACCAGATCCGATTACAGATCAGATGCATGCGCTTGCCACGTGCCAGCACACGGAAACAAACCTTCGGCCTCTCTCTCTCTTCTCCTCCTCTTCCTCCTTTAAAAAATCTCTCCTCTCTCTTAAAATCCATCATTGAAGCTCTCCTGACGAGATCTCGTTCTCTCTCTCTCTCTCTCTCTATCTATTTATCGACCCCACTCCCCCCAGTTCTAGGGTTTTCGCTGCGATCCATGTCCTGCGATCTCATCGCGAGTTTTGATCGAGCATCTCGATTCTATAATTTTGGCCCATTTGCGATATCCTTTCTAATCCTTTGCATTTCTAATTTCGAATAGTTTATTGCTGCGCATTGCGATCAAAGTGGGGATCGATCGCTCGGAGATCTCGAACGGTGGAGAAATATTTGAGAGTTGCGAGGTGTCCTTCGAAGAATCGGAGGCGTAAAAAGGTCGTGAAGATGGCGCAATGGCCTCAGTTCGATCGAATTCAGGAAGCGGATCATCTAAGCGGTGTACATAGAAGGTACTGTGCTTTATTGTTTAGGATCGAAATGATTTGTGCTCTTTATTCGTTTCCAGATTATGATTGCTTGTCATGTTCAATGTTTTGATAGTACATTGCCTATTAATCGTCTAGTTTTTGCTGGTCGTGACGTAAGGTTGTGAGGCATTGGATCTCTTATTCAAGAAAAATTTAAACTTTTTGATGGATAATTGCATGTGATGTTTTTAGATGATCGTTTTATTCTCATTGCCAGTTCTATTACATATATAGGCCATCATGTATACAAAGCTTATTGGTTCGGGACTACATGTTGGATTTATGAACTCGGGCATCCACTTTCTGTAACATTTTTTTATTATGTTTCTATACTATTATCTTTATGGGCAGAATGTTCTTCAGATAAAATGGACTCCCTTGATATGCATGAGATTCATGTAATGAGCAAAATTTTTATATCTTATTTAATAAACATCAGCAAGCTTTATTGCTTAAATTGTCTCAAAAGCAACATCTCTCTGCAGCACATATACTGTTTTAGCATGCATGTGCTTATATTGTTATAACTACCAAAATGATAAGTTGGCAACCAGCGAACCATATCTAGGTAAGCAAACCTTATGAAGATCTAGAAATCTCTCTGGCCTTGGCAATGGAAGAAACTAGATAAACCTTTTCCTTGCTAATAAGAGAAATTGATGATAAGAGAAGCTATAGTTTCAAATTTTATTGAGTGTTATGTTTCTTTGGAGAATTACTAAGCTATTTATAGTCTGTAGAAGACCCCTTCTCTGAGTCATTTTAGAGAGCAATCTCATCCATTAGATGAGATCGAGCAGCTCACAATCTTCACAAGAACTCTAGTAGCCTTAATTTTATTGGATAAAGGCCGGTTTGTTCCTTGAGTGAATCAGATCTGGTCTGGGTCATGCTCCAATCTGAAACAGCTTTTGAGTTAAGCTCAACCCAATCCAAACCACATTGGATTGTGTATGTATTTGTCTTAGAACCACCCAATTCTTGGCCGATTAGACTGTTCGGATTGGCCCGTGATCTACATGGAAGCAGGGATAGTACCAACATACTTGCACTCGTCGAATCAGAATATGAGCTGAGCTGTTTCCAACGTATATTTGTGGCTTTTGCACTAAATCAATTCCTTGCACAACAAAGTGAAGATCCATTGTTCGGTAAATTATATCCACTTGAACTGGGTCACTGAGTTATCCTAGTTGTTGTTGAATGCTTGAAATTCTTTTTTTAAACTGCCATCTGCACTAGTGATTTCATTTCATGAACTTGATTTATGCATGAGAATGTTCTGACTGCAGTCTGCAGATCCTATAATCTATCTCAATAATAGAAACAATAGAGCAGGAAGGCAAGGTTATTGCAGAAAATCAAATGTGAAGAAATTACGGCTGGATGGCGGAGGATGAGCGAAGTTAGCTTGTAGGATATTTTCTGGCCTCCATGCCAGCCTCTGGCTGCGACAACATGGCCATGTCAGCTTCCAACAGACTTTGATATGGCTAGCACAGTGGTTAGCATCCACTTTGCACCTACCATGATGTTGTATTAGATGATAAAAACTTACTAGGTTATGGGCTTTGTGATATGTCATGTCCCCTCTGCTGGTATGTGTCTTTACATGTACTTCTGGAATTATTTACAGTCAGGGTCACAAGGACCAACTTTCCCTTGACAGTTGAACTGAAGAATAGGTGATCTCTTCCTTTCTTTCCGAAAGTAGGGCTTCTCAGGGATTTCCTATTTGGCTGGGTTCATATTGGCTCTTTTCTGAGATCACTCCGTGATTATGCTATGCCCTGCCTCTCTTAAGACAACATAGAAGATTTAGGAGCAGTTATAGAAACACAAAGATTACGTGATGGAATAGGGAGATATGCTAAATACAGTCATAAACTTAATGGTAAAACTAGAAAGTTGATTTAATGCCTTCTACAAACCTAGTATGTTGGGAAATTCATAGTGGAAAAAGGCTTTAAACTCCTTTTTTGAGTTATTGATGCCTTGGGTGCATCATATAGGAATAGGATGTTAGGTAACACCACATATTGTAAGTCTAGATTGAGATTGACAGTTTAGGTTGTTGAAAAGTTTGATCAATAAATAAACCATCAGGTTATGTAATTTCATGATGTTACCTCACTTCCTGTTTCCTCTTCGTCTCTCTGTGTTTGTGTTGTGTGTATGGTGACACATGGCCTTTAGGAAATATTTTTGTTGAAGTGATTCCTCTAGATAAATATCGAAGTGATTGGCCGAAAATGTCATTGTTTGTTGGATTCGTATCGTCGAATATCCTTGTAACTTTCGCCCCAGTTGCATTAATCACCAAATGCATCATGACAACTCCCAAAGGCAGGGCCGTACCTAGGAATTTTGGGGCCCAAGGCGAAATATCAGATGAGGCCTAAGTGATACAACTCATAATAGATTTTATCTCATCTTTCTTACATTTTAAGTTGCAAAATTACTAATTAAAGTTTTATATTCAATATTTTCTAACATATTATTTTTGATAGATAATATTGCTAAACCATTCAATCTATCATGTAACATGGTCGATCTTAAATAAGATTTTAGTAATTTTAATTTTGAAAAACTTCTTTCAGCGGAAGTAACTGTTACGGGTATAGTCAATAATACACGATAAGCAATACAAATATTTAGAAAAGAATCTAACCACTTTATATAGTTCAACACTTCAATTGGACTATTAATCTCTACTTTTAAAATTTCCCTAAGCACTCTCAATTCTGAAAACAAATCAAGTCCATTAATATCTAAATGTTCATCATGTTTTAGTGCATTTTCGAGATTAAGGCAATATTCTTTCAATTTAATATCATCTAAAGATTTTAATTTTTTCAAATCAAACAAAAAACCAAAAATTTTCATACGTTTTAAATTGTTCAAACCTACTTTCAATTGAGCCAAACGATTTATCAATTATGTATAAGAAATATTCAATACAAAAAGATTTTTCAACGTTAAATATTGTTTCATTACCAATATTTTCATCAAATTATTTTTTTCTATGAATTTTACGTTTTTCACGAAATATAGGTTGTACGTTCATTTCATTAGCAAGTTCTTTAGTTGAATTCAAAGCAGACATAAAACCATTTTGTCTATAATTTTCTAAATATACAATAAGACCCTTTAATTGATCTATGGCAATATCAATATGCATATATTTAGATTGTAAGATTTTACTAACTGAATTAACAGCAAACAGTATGTCATACCAAATATTTATTGGTAATAAGAATTCAAAATTTTCAATCTTATAAGTTGCTAAGCTATTGGCTTCACTTTTTATCTTTGGGTCTTCACGAATTTCTGCTAATTGAATCAAAGAATCTCTTACATTTGGAGCTTGAAATTTTTTTGCTTTAACACTTTCAGTCCGACCTTCCCATCTAGTTTGACATAAAATATGGAACTCCTCGTGAAAACTTAAACTAGAGCACACCTAATGAGTATACCATCTACGACATTTAAAATAAAAATTATTCTCAAATGCCAAAGTAAATGCATTAGCTTCTTCTAGTACGAAACAATTAACACAGAAAATCCGTACACATCCAATTTTGATAATAGCTACATATCATACTCAAATTCGCGAAACAATTAACACAGAAAATCCGTACACATCCAATTTTGATAATAGCTACATATCATACTCAAATTCGAATCCAGTATATCCATGAAAGATGGTACACATCCAATTTTGATAATAGCTACATATCATACTCAAATTCGAATCCAGTATATCCATGAAAGATGCTTGGAAAATTAAAAATATCAAGGAAACGAGACATGCTATTTGTTCTAGATTACTTAAGAGAGATTAACAAGCAAACACTAGAAATCGCGAAGGGGGAAAAGGAGTCACCTTTGAGAGAGGACTGTTGCCTGCTCATAGAGAAATCCTAGATTCTGAAATAGAGAGGGAATTTAGAAGCGGCTGCAAATATTATTTATAGGTCAACGTCCGATGAATGAGCAGTGTGATTACGATTTCGGACCCAATAACGGATTAGGTAGGCGTTAACAACCGAACCGACCCGACCCGCAAGTGCTGAATCCTCTCGACTCTGGAGAGGAAGCTGTTTATATTTTATAAATCCTTGCATCATTAGGAGATGGCTGGAGCCTGGCGTTGAATCCCGGGTGGGCCCTACCCAAGCTGAGGCCCAAAACAAATGTCTTAATTGCCTTAAGGTAGGGCCGGCCCTGCCCAAAGATTAGAGGCCATCTCATTTCCAGGGTGACTAAGAAATGAGAGCTCCTAGGCCCTGTTAAGCTGTTATCAAAAAGAGGTGGGGAAGAGTGCAAGCCAGTACACTAAGGTTGAGTAGGGACAGAATGTAACCTAGATCTCTTGGGCATGCTCTTTAGTAGGTAGTTATAGCACGTTTAGCATGTTCTACTTTTCTTGAAGCTATTGCAAATGAGTGATAACTCTTAACATCTCAAGCAGATGCATCAGTACAACGAATTTATGTATATGGGTATTCTGAGATATGATACCCCAAAACAACATGGCTATGAGATATTTGGAAGAGTATTTTGTTTATAACTAAATGCTAATAGAAGGAGCCTTTTGACAGAAATAGCAAGTGTTTTTGATGCGTTTTCTCTTAGATGAATGATCTTTTGCCATTATAGTTTAGTGTCATGTGTTGGTACACTTCATTTGAAAGTTGCTAACCACTCTTATCTTGCTTTCACTTTCAGCGAGGATGGAAAATTAAGTTTTGGATTTTCAAGCTTCATGGGCAAGAGGTCAAGTATGGAGGATTTCCATGATATTCAATCATTGACAATTGACAAAGAATCGGTCTACTTCTTTGGAGTATTTGATGGTAGTTCACATCTATATACATACTTCTTTGGGTTTTAGAATGTACCACTGATGCTTTTCTGTCTCAGGTCACGGTGGCCCACATGCTGCTGAATATTTGAAGAATCACTTATTTCAGAACCTCAGGAACCACCCAAAATTTATGACAGATACAAAATTGGCTATAAGTACATCCAATATTTGAGATATCTTGTAAGATTTTGCTAGAACTTATTCTTGTTGTTGATCAGTCACACTTGTTTCCTTTTCTTGACAATCAGGTGAAACATATATCCGAACTGATACTGACTTCTTGCAAGCTGAAAATAATTCTCAAAGAGATGATGGTTCTACTGCCTCCACAGCAATCATGATTGGCAACCGTTTGTATGTGGCAAATGTTGGTGATTCACGTGCTATAGTATCAAAGGATGGTGAAGGTGCTTTTATTTTATAGATAATTAACAGAGGATTTTGTTCTTTTTGCAAACTGCAGTTTGTTTTTTCTACAGAATTATTGTTGGTGACATTATTTGTGTGGTGAAAGTTATAACACTTCTTTATGGATCAATCTTCTGTTCAAACTGAGGCTCTCTAAATTCCATAACAGAGGGTGGGTAAAGAATGATTGTGTACTTCATGCTATTAAGAATGATTGTGTACTTCGTCCCCAAAACAGCCATGTAAAACAGAAATCATATGATTGAACATTTTCTGCCTGTCGATCGAATAGTTCCATTTGTTCTACTATTGAAAAAGTTGTTCACTTTTCGACCACTTCATGCATGTGTGAAAGGTCTCTAACATATGGTTTTTAATCTGTAAATATTTTAATGCATGGAGATGATGATAGAGGATTTCCATTTTGACTCACCAAATGCTTTTCGTGCCTATAGTGTAGGACAAGTAAACTGGCCAAATTTTTTCCAACAGGTAGAATCACAAGAAGCAAGATTCGTCCCTATAAGTTGAAGGCTTTCATTTAAGTGTGAAGTGATATCTTGCATATTATCATGTCTCTTAGTGTTATGTGGCCATGATCAAAATGTCCCCATGTTTTGTTGGGCGCAACACATGACACTTCCTCAGGAAGTTGGCGTGGGGACCCGACCATAATTAGCGGCACTCATGAAATTAGATGCGTGTACTAGAGTATGCATTTAACTTATCATTCTAAAGTTCAAGAGAATTGATTTAATCTTTGTTCAACACGATTATGACTTGAGATGTTTCATATGTATCCTTGATGCTAAAGTGGAAAGTGATTTGGTCTTTATATGATGACTGGTTGGAGTTTTCTTGGAATTTCCTAGACTATCCAACATGCTCAACACTTCAAAAACTTAATATGAAGTATTTATACAACACTGCTCTTCATAGTAGTTTCTAGATGGGAATGAAATATTCAGACAGCTCCTAAACATAAATGGGTGGACATGTCAAAAAATTCATTTGTGAAGCTTTCATGACAGCTTAAAGGGAACCCAACAAAAATGTTAATTTGGAGGCCAGAACTTCAAATTACTCCTCAAACTCAAAGATTCTAAATAGCTTAGGGGTAAGTTGCCTATATCTTCTCTTGGTTTGGATGGAGGTCTATAAAAATAATACTTTTATTTTATTATCTTCGTCATACTTCAGATCGTTTTTACTATTTGTCATAGTAATATATTCATACTCCTCGACATTTTGTTTACTATCGCCTAGATTTGACTGTAAGTACTGCCAAAATTTATAATTTAATCTGCTTTTAGATCTGTGACAATCTTTCGCTTGTTTATCTTTTATGTAATCGTCCTTCAACATTTTTCTGCCCTTGCTTGCAATTGTATTACTGTCTTGGATGCTGCTATCTACGTGCACTTTTTGACATTTTTCTTATTGTTTGCAGCTATTCAACTTTCTGAAGACCACAAACCAAATAGGACTGATGAGCGCAAGAGAATTGAAAATGCTGGAGGAGTTGTTATGTGGGCTGGTGAGAGCCAGCTCTGAATTCCTTTTCCTTGTGTTGCTGGTTGAGTGGAGTCTGCTGAATGCAGTACTTTCCCTGTAATTACAGTTCCATGCTTATTGCACCAAATAATATGATCACATAGGTCATATTTATTCCCTCCTTGGATCAGAAAATTATGATTGTGTTTTTTTCTCTTTCCTTTTTCCAGGTGGGGTTCGGGATAGTGGTTGTATTACATTACATCCATCCATGCACTTTTCGGGCACATGTCAAAAAGCTGAGCACCAAGAGAAGTAACTTATGTTGGCTATACCTGGTTAGAATGACTATAAATGAAATGCCCATCAAGTAGATGTCTACTACTTCATGATTGTATCTGTTTCTGTTTTGTCTTTTCTAGTTTCTTCTCTGATTCCTCTGTTCTTACTTTTTCCCTTTTTTGCACGAGGGGTAGGTTTTTTTCTTTTCTTTTCTTTTTTTTTTTGGGGGGGGGGGTTGTTTTGGAGGAGGGGTTGTTTGTTTGCTAATAATTTGATGTGAACATGCATAATTCTGTGGTTTGTGCTGCTCTAATTTTCTGTTAGCAGGACAGTGTGTAGGCGTGACATGCCTGGTTTAGATTGAGTAATTCAATGAAATCTAGTTTCTCATGATTATGCTCTTTCTATCTTCCAATCATACTCATGTTGATGAATAAAAAAATTTCTGATAGCTCAAATATTTCTGACTCTTACTTTGATATTTGTTTGGTATGTAAGGTACTTGGAGGGTAGGAGGCATATTGGCAATGTCAAGGGCATTTGGCGACCGGCTTCTGAAACAGTTTGTCGTTTCAGATCCAGATATTCGGGTATATTTCTTTGCCAAAAAAAGTGATACAACTATTATCTCTAAAATCTGTAAAATTGAAAAAATTCGGGACAGAGAGGTTACTTCCTCTCCTCATTATTTAATGAAATTCACAGCTGAACAATTAATCCATTGAAATAATCAGTAAGAGGCCATGACTTAGAATATGTTCTCTTAGTCTATAGGATTCACTACTTCACTTGTTATCATTGTAGCTGTTTAACTTTTTTGAAATTGTTAGAGACTGAAATCTATTTATTTCTAGAAACAGTTTAGCAGGAAAATGATCCCCTCCTGAGTGTGCACTCTTGTCTCCATCTTTCTCACCCCTTCTGGTCTTTGCCGTTTTCTCTCTCCCTTCTGGTCCAAGCCCTTGCTTGTATAGGTTGCCTAGTGTAAGACTAAGGGTGGATCTTTTATAAGATAACCATCTTGTATAGGTTGCCTAGTGTAAGACTAAGGGTGGATCTTTTATAAGATAACCATATGTCACTAATTGGAAGAATTTGTGTTACGTGCTGTCACCACTATACCCTACACAGGCACGTGACTTGGTCAGCGGTATATACGCATGGATTCTTACAGTTTTTTTAAACATATACCCAAGCCTCAATCGAAGCAAAAAGGTACACTTACATATACAACATCCACTTACACATACAAATTCACCAAAGAACAGTGGAAGAAAAATTATATAACAATGTATTTAAGTCTCGATAAAGAAGATACAAGTCGTTAGAGAGAACACTGAGATATAAATATTTTATTAATAAGCCATACCAACCTATTTATAGATGAGAGGTTGAGTAGAGGGCTAGAAATACATAAGTTACTGCATAGGAACCAAATAAAACCAAACTAGTCAATTAATTATTTTAACACTTCCCCTCAAGCTAGAGCAAATATATCAATCATTACCAGCTACACAGAGTGGTAAGATGCCCGAAGTTCAGTGGCTTAGTGAAAGGATTGGCATGCCAGGTTCTTAGCTGTCATAATAGCTTTCTGTTTAGACCACTATTGTCTTTCTTCTTTGCTGTCATATTGGATGTTATTTGGATTAGGGTGCATTAACAACATAAATTATACGATGATACCTATTCCTAAACCAATAAAAACTTGATTTTTTTGGGGTGTTCAGGAAGAAGCTGTTGACAATGGACTTGACTTTCTGGTTCTAGCAAGTGATGGACTGTGGGATTACGTGTCAAATGAGGTTAGCTTCTTTTGTACGAAATGCTCATATAGTCAGATTGTGTTTGTTAAATAATGTGGATTTAATATATATCACGATAGAAACATTGTGCCATTTGTTATTGCCATATCAGTAACCTATTTCTTACTCTTGGGTGTTAAATAATTATAACACATAATCCCTATACCATTTTCTCGAAAGTAATGGACTGTTGGATGTTGTGCCAAAGGGATCAATTTGTTTCTAATGTTACTCTGCTTCTAAGTATCATATATATTGCTGATGAATTTTGATGAGAGAAAGAGAGTGGGTTCAGAAGCAAAATCCTTCACATCTAAATTCGATGATAGTGAAACCTAGTTGCATAATTATCCCATTCAAATTGATCTACTTTTAAGGTGCCTAATACACACACAGAACACACAGACACACACACGTGTTTGTGTATGTATCCACTCATGTGACTTTTTACGACATGTTGTACCTCATCTTAAAAGTCACATAAAAAATTGGTTCTAATAAGATGACCATGTAGTGAGTCTCATCTAAATTCGATGATAGTGAAACCTAATACATGAGTGATTCAACAGATTTGGATTCCTATATATCCACTCATGTGATATTTCATTATACGATTCATATAAGATCCACCTGTCTAGATATCATCATATACATCCAGAATGACTAAATATAAACGCTTTATGCTCCATACATTAATAGACATTGGAGCCAATATAAACATCATTAGAGGAGAATTTTTTCCTTCTTACAGAAAGCAATGCAAAACTCTTCAAGTCATTACGTCCTTTAATGCAAAGGCAACGACAATGACTCAAAAGATCAAAATTCTCCCTGTTATCTTTGAAACCATTGATGGATTCCTATATATCCACTCACGTGATACTTCATTATACGATTCATATAAGATTCATCTATCTAGATATCATCATATACATCCAGAAAGTCGTATGCTTTGGAAGGAGCTTGTACAGTTTGGCAATGGGTTTTTATTGATAAAAAGAAGAATAACTTCAACCAATATGTCCTTAGGCACGACCATACATAACATAGAAATTACACTTGGAAAGGGTGGACAATTAGCTAGAGTGATATGTACCGTAGCGAAACTGATTACAAAAGAGAGGAAATCCGACCACATTAAGATTATCCTTTGGGGAGGTACAATATGTGGCTTTTTACGAATCACCAATGAAAGGAATGCAAATGCATTATGTCTGTATAAATACATGGATATGCGGGTATATCTGGTTAAAAATGATCAACAAATATTTTTATAATAGAAAGTCAACGTATATAACTAATTACTCCTAATGGTTCATATTATACTAGTGCTAGTTGATGAAAGTTACTTCGGCATCAAGAAAAGTCATTTTTTTTAAAATTCTAATTGAATGAACTTGATCTAGTACAGTATGAACTGGCAATCAGAACATAATGGATAAAGCATAAACGAGGGTCTTGAAAAGCAAGTAAATTTTTCAGGGCATGTATCTTTTTTTTAAGTTCACTAGGATTCTTATTGGTTGGAACATCTAGAAACTTGAATTTCCATCTCAGTAAATCTTTTTTTTTAAGGGATCGTGATGTCTTTCTACGTGATCGCGAATCTATTCATTAGTTCCTATTTATGGTGCACAATTTCATGGAATGTAGGTAGTGGTTACGACATGTTGTGCATCTTAGGATTTAATGATAAATGAAATAGAAATGAAATAATGTATAAGAATTCAAGAAACTATTGGATCTATCCTATTAGCTAAGAATTTAAGTTAATTTAATGTGAACTATACCATATAGTTCATAATTTTTTCAAATACTAAATAATATAACTAATTATATTTTTCTAATAAATGTATAACATTATATATATAATTAAAATACCACTAAATGGAAATCGAATTCTATTTAATACTAATAATAATTAATGGATATATCTTACTAGCTAGAATTTTCATTCTATTATGATACATAATCACCATAAATAACATACATTCTATATTATTTTCATATTTTTAGAATTTAGATTATTTTTCTACTTTAGCATTACTACATTAGATTATTTTTTATTTTTTATATAACAATTTATATAAATATTATATATGTAGCCCATTAATATACGATATATCTATATATATATATATATTATAATAATATATATATATTATATAGCTAAATATATATATATATATATATATATATATATGATATATTATATATATATATTATAGCGAAAGTGTTCCTAAGGTGACGCCTTTAGATAATCATCTAGGACGCGGTCTAAAATTACATGAATGAGCTACAATATGGATGAATCCGCCTCGTTTGAATGATCTACATATTTCTAAAATCCCAACACACCACGTTTGGGTGAACCCATCGTCGTTGACCTCCGTCGAGCCATGTGAAAAGTTCATATCATTCAAACCGTTAAAAATATACGAGTGGATAAGCGTCGTCAACGACGTCGGGGGTTCCCCCAAACGTTGGTGTGTTGGGGTTTTTTAGAATATATAGATCAAGCTTTAACGAGTGGATCATCCACAATGTAGCTCAATCATCGTGTGATTTTAGACCGCCTCCTTAGATGATTATCTAAGACGTCGACCTTAGGAAACATTTCTAATATAATTATATATATATATATATATATATATATATATATAATATATTATATATGTATATAGATGAATAAGGGTATGATTGCCAACGACTCATTTTGCTAAATGAGTTACCCAGAGAGAGCCCTATGGTGAGGCCCACCTTAAAAATCATACCAAAAGGTGTAGACCACATCCCACTATCTCTTCGTAGTTCATTTTGCTAAATGAACCGCCATCTCACAACCATTAAACCATGTAAGTATGCGTGCGTATAGAATAATGGGTACCAAGCACCGAGTTGGTGCTTAATAGTGACGTGGTCACTTTCATCCACTCATTTAATGGGTAGGTGATCAAGCGGGGGCCATTTTTAAATGGGTACCTTTAAATAAGTGGATGAGAAGCATCACGTCACTACTAAGTACTAATTTGATACTTTGTATTGAGCACACCCATTATTCTTATATATATATGAGGAAAATGTAGGAATTGCGTACCAAGCACGAATTTTGTGCTTGGTAGATGGTCTAATTAACAAGGTGCTTTTTTAACCTTTTACTACTTACAAATTGGTGCATAAGGATTTTAAATCATTTAAAATTATCAGATTAAGAATTGTATGGCCAAAATCATAAATTTAAACAATATACTACTTTTGGTTGTACATGATGTGCGTGATTGATGGGTGAACTAGAACACTTTAGTTTAGGACATTTAAGTTTTGTTTTTAGGCACTTAAAAGAACATAGATCAATTTTAATAGATTGCATTTTTCATCTTTATTTGTCCATCTGGTTGCCTCCTTTTCTGTTGCTGGTCAAACACCATTGGTACCTCAAAAAAATTTCTCCATCATGTTTCCACTTCCCTCCCTATTGAATAGTGTTGTGTAACCTTGGTGTATTGAAGGAAAGAACATCATATTAGTGAACCTCATTATAATGGGCATTGACATAAGCAAACTACTATTGTTAGGTATGTTAAGTTTAAGTACATCTTTTGTGGACGACCTAACAACTCAAGTTTTTTGGGTTAACCAATTTTGTAAGGTGGTACTAGAGCACCATATTCAAGAGCTCCTAAGCTTGAGTCTTAATATGACTCTTTCATCAGGTAGGCAAAAGAGCAATGTCAGCTTTTGCTAGTTAGTTTGAGTCTTAGTAATAGTATGACTCTTTTATCAGGCAGGCAAAGGAGCATTGTAAGCTTTAGCTAGTTTCCTTTATTCATCATTTGTTTTTTTAGAAGAATGATGAGACTATGGAGATTGAGGTTGCGTCTGTTGTTCATCTTTTAGTATATTCTGCTTTTTCTAAGCATGTTCATCGGATGCCTTCACACCTTTCTTTTCCTTTCTTGCGGGGTTGTGAAGGTTGGAGTTACCTCAATTAAATCATATTGATGTACATTGTTAGTGATACCCTTCACTCGTGCTCGACTATTCAAATGCTAGATAAAGACACTAACCAGATCTGCAATGATATACATTGAAAGAAGAGGTTAGGGCATTGGGGAAAGCCTGCCACTAAATAATGAAAGAGATATTGACTAAAGAGGATGAAAAGAAGTAGAGAATGAACTTGTCACCTCAGGGACATGGTTTGGACCCTATTTTAGAAGAGTACCTATAATGGTTAAGATTATTCCTCCTCACCAGCAATAATACCATGATTGAACTTCTTCAGTAAATTTTGTCATAAGCTTCTCGACCATTTTCGGCCATAGAGTTCTACAAGACATGCAAGGATACCCTAATCCTTAGGAACATGTAATATGGGTTGCTTTTGGTATTATATGTTGGATTTGGCTCAGAACCTAACAATTAAGTTTTTGGGTAGAGTGGTTTTGATAAACCATTATATATGTGTCGATTGAGGTGTATCAACCAGCATCTTTCATGAAGTTAACATAAAATTGGTGTCCGCATAAGGATATTATAGGGTCATGTTTTAAATATTTAAAAATCAGGGTGTTTTCCTAGAAACCACTTAAAAATAGGGTAGTTATACGATAATTATACGGAAATCACCTTTCAATTTTAATTTATACGTAAACCATCTTTAAATTAGGTTTTAATTGCAATTGACCATCTCCAAGTTAAATTTTCTCTAAAAATAAAAAATGAGCTTAGAAAATTTAAGTTCAAGGTAAGTTAATTATATCTCTAATAAGACATGAACACTTAAGAAATGAGTCACATGCCTCATATGTGAGTTTTTAAGGGAAATTTTGGATTTTTAGTGAAAATTTGACTGGGAGGTGGTTGATTGCAATAACAACTCATTTTAAAGATGGTTTATATATAAATTGAAATTGAAAGTGGTTATCCTATTTTTAAGGTGGTTTTTATGAAAAAAATATATATATTAACTAACAAGATTACACTGCAAGGGAAAGTAATTGCATCTAAGGTGAAAGGTTAAGTGCTTAGAAACCTCTAACCATAGTTTAAAAAAGACATTTATCTAGAATGCATCTATAAGTGAAGAATATGAAGAAGCAATACCAATTAATAATTGTTGTAAAATTTCTTTGGTTATCCAGTCATGATTTTGTTACCATTTCAATGTTATTAGATATGAGATATGTATACTACTATATTATTAAAAAGTAAAAACCAATGAAGGGTATGAAAAAAGAGGAATAAAGGACATCCATTTGTTCCTCAACTCCACATTAAGGGCAAAGTTGTAATTTGGCATCCAGCTCACGACTATTATAAGTGAAGGGCGTTAACATTTGTATTGCTGTATTTCTCTTCCAATACTACATCCACTCCGTTCTGCGGCCGCCGCCCCTCTCTCTTGATGTAATGCCCGTCTTATCTAAAAAATAAAATAAAAAATTATACGGGTTAATTTTAGGAAACCCGGGGCTTGTCTTAGAAAACCCCTCTTAGCTATTTTATTTTTAGAAACCCCCCTCAAATTTGAGGGTGTTGTCGATAACACCCCTCAACTTTCATAATATGAGTAAACCCCCCTTAATTATGGGTGTCTCACAAAACCCCCTTTATCTTTCTATTTTTAAAGTACCCCCTAATATTATTAATTTGAAATATGCAATGACTAAATTACCCTTGGTTGAAGAAAATTCAATTGAGTTTAAAAACCCAACTCAATCAAAATATTAGGCTTCGGTTTGATGGGTTTTGATGAGGAAACTAATTTTCAGAAAAAATTTAAAAGTTTCAATTGTTTCAAACATTACAGGCCTGGATAAGCAGAAACTAAAAGACGTTTGGTTTTTCAAAAAGGAAAGAAAAAATTCGATTTGTGCGTAAACTTAGCAATGGAGATGGAGGAATAAGAAGAGGGAGGAAATAAAATGAAAGTTTCTCTTAACCAAAAAAAGTTAAAAAGGAACGCTATTGTAAAAAAATTTAATGTCTTAGGGATAGTATGGTCATTTTAACTCATTTGTTCCTTTAGATTTAAATTATAATATTTTAGGGGTTTAAGTGAGAAAAATTGAGGGGGGATAAATAATATTTTGTAAGTTGAGGAGGGTTATCTACAATAACTCCATAATTGAGGGGGTTTTTTGAGACGACCCCATAGTTAAGGAGGGTTTTCTAAAATTAACCCAAATTATAACTCTCTTAAATCTTCTTGAAGCAACGGGGAAAAATGAAGACCTATTTTGCAAGAAGACCTTTAAGCTATCCAAAAAACATTAAGATTTCTGAAACAAAATTAGAAGTTATTTAAAGAAATTGATTAAAAATATAAAATGCCATTTTGCTCAATTTAAGTTTTAGAAATAATTTTTGAACAATTGTTATAAATTATGTATATTGTTGAGAAAAGACATTCTCCTATACTAGTATTATTACAATCCAAATGCACGTGCAACAGACATTAAAATTTAACCATTCAATTTTTATAAAATGATCAGTTTAATACCCAAAAGTTTCACAGATTTTTGTAAGATCTTTTTAGGAAATTTATTTATTTAATATGCGATATTTTATCTTCCCTTATCCGAAATTGGTTATCAGTGACGATCTAATTTTCACAGATAATGTCATTAAGAAGAGTCTTTTTCATGATTTTGCTTTAAACTATTATTTGATTATTTTTATCTAAGTAAAATACACTTTCTAATGTTCACATTAAAACATATGAAATTTTAATCGTTGTTTCATTGTATTTTCCAACATTCTTTTTTGGAAAAGAACCTTACTACTCATAGTTATATATCGCTTATAACATATAATGTAATAGATATTCAATTAGTAAGCTCCGATGTCATACTCATGTCATATTTTAGAAAGTTCAAGAGAAGGAAGAGAAAAGAATAGGAAAGGAAGATGTATCTCCAATAAAATTACCGTCCCTGCTCATGACTCTGCTCATGATAGGCTCTTTTTACCATCCTTTTTTTTTTAACATTTTACTTGGATAGTCATTTCCTTTATTAAGCCTCAATTAGATTAAATAAGCTGGTATAGAAGAGGAAATGATGATGCCTGGAAAAACCACTAAATTGCCACATACTTTTTATTTTAGTTCTATTCTTTTATGTTGCTTCTTTTGTACATTTCAGTGAGCATATTTCTTTGAAGGTACTGGAAACAGTATACATTGGTCTTATGATCAAGTAAGACCAGTTCATACAATTGCTTGGTTAGATGGAGATTCATGAGTCCGTCTTGTAGAACATCTTTCATTGTTTACATATAGTGTTCTCTTTTAGTAAGTACTCAACCAGGTTAAATAAGTTGAAGGTGGTTCGAGTTACTTGTGAACCAAGAGTCAACGACATTAACCGAACATCACATTGAGCGCTAGCTGTATGATGCTGCAAAGTTTATTCTCAAGTTTTAGGATGGAAGTAGTAATACAAACAACAAATAGCGTAAAAGAGTCATTATGTCCAAAGCTCGCCTTGTGTTTTCCTTTTTGTTTTAAACAAGTTAATTTTCCATGTAGAAAATGTTTAAGCCTTATTGCCTGTTAATAGGCGGCAGTGGAAATTGTGAAGCCGCTGGATAGTCCAGAGGCTGCAGCTCGAAAGTTGACAGAGACCGCCTACTCCAGTGGCAGTGCAGATAACATCACCTGCATTGTGGTAAGATTTCATCATGACCACCCAACTGCTCCTACACATCCAGATGCTTCTACATCCAACAGTTCAACGGTTCTACATCCAAAAGGTTCTTCTTCAGTTGGCAGTACAGAACTCCAGATTGCTCCTGGAGATTCTAATATTGTAGCTTCTTCATCTATCAGTGCAAATTCTCTTGCAGATTATACTTTGGCCGGAAGTTCAGATGCTACTAGCTCGATAGCTCTGGATGAAACTTTAACTGTAGATCCTTTTCTCAACATCATAGCTGCAGCTTCTGCTTCAACTGATGCCAGTGAAGATACTTCCGGGCAGGGACAAGCTAAGATGATATAAACAAGGTTGGTGATAATCTAGGTGAAAATCCTTCCACCCTTTGAGGTTATTACTTACTGTGGGCAGGTAGTTCTTCAGTCACCGGCATGATTCGTTGATATCAATGTAGATCATCCTCTCCTTTTCAGAGGTTGGATTCTTGATTGATACCTGCAACAGTAGCAAAGGGAGACTATAGACTCATTTATGGTACATTTGTTGATATTGTTCCTAATATTTTCCCTTCCCCCTCCCTCTTTTTTGTTGTTTTAAGTTAATTGCTGGTAATCATGGATGATATTGGGAAGCGAGAGAGGATGACCTTCCTACTTTATTGTTTTGAAGATCACAGCGACCACAATGTATCAAGACCAGCATGGCTTTAATTTTCTGTTCATTCTGGAATTTTGTGCGAAATTGTCTTGATATAAATCACTTGATGAAGTATATAAGAATCATTTGCACCTTAACCCCTGATATGATTGTGAGATCAATTTGAGCACATTTGTCTCTTTTCATTTTAACTTCTCTTAAGAAAGATATCCAAAGAGAGAATATTTCTCACACTCACTTGTAACATCTTCCCCTTCCTTCTCCAAGTATTTCTGCAAGCTCTCTTCCGTTCTCCAGACAACATGCTAGTCACTGTAAGCATTTATGGATCGAAGAAACAAATTTCATAATCGTTAAGTTTGCAGTACTTTTTTGCATATAAAGACGGAGATTTCTGCTGATAGATTTTGAGATAATTTTGATTTTATTTTTTATGTGCAAGACGGCTAGTGCTTCGCATATTAAAAGTAATGTTTTTTTGCTATTTATGATCAATGAGGATGATGTTGTCCATTGAATTAAATTGGAATGGTTGAAATGGAGAAGTGTTTCGAGAGTCTTATGTGATCATAGGATACCAATGAAAAGAAAGGAAAAATTCTATAGAATTGTTATAGGACCAACAGTGCTTTATAGGTCAGAGTTGGGTAATTAAAAAATAACAAAAGATGAGTGTAGTAGAAACAAGAACATTGAGATGGTCTTGTGGCTATATATTAAAAGCTAGGATAAGAATGTGTTTATCCATAGTAAATTAGAAGTTGTTCCTATTGGAAATAAAATGAGAGAGAATCGACTAAGATGATTTTGTTATATACAATGGAGACCTCTTAGCGTACCAGTTAGAAAAAGTGATAGTATTATAATTAATAGGACTAGGAGATTCAGATGTAGACATGAAAGAATTTGATTAGAAACAATCAAGAAGGATTTGATAATATTTAACTTAACGGAGGAGATGTCGCATAATAGAATAGAATAGAAGAATATGATTCATGTAACCGACTCCAAGTAATTGAGAGAAAAACTTTGTTGTTGTTGTTGTAAGAAGACTAGCGTTAACATGAAATTAAATTCATTAAAAAGTTTCATGGTTGAGAGAAATCACGTTAAATATATAAAGTCATCCGAGGAAACATCAATCAAGCAGTCCAATATAACAGCCAATCAAAGCACTGAACTCATTCGCATTCCATCTAAAGCTGCGACCATCTTGGTCTCACTTTCTTGAAAACATTTGTCGCAAGCGTGTGGTCGGTGGTGGCCGGCCGACCGACGAACCAATCCAGTTCTACCAAATATAGCAAGAATTCAATATAAAAAAAAACTCCCAATATGATAAAAATAGAAAACAGGAAGAACTGAGTAACTTTTTTGGCGGGCCCGAAGCATGATCTCTCGTCCTCGAAGATTGAGATTTTGATTTGGTAGGTTGGATGTCACTCCCACGTGGACAAATAGGAGGCATAATAGCCCTTTGTAGGCCCTGTTGCATGGGCCCAAAAAGATTTGCGGCTTCACTCTATCATGCTCAACAAAGAAATAAATAACGATAGGAGCACATCCTCTACCACACTCCCAACCAAACCACCTCTCGCTACAGTGCACGGGACCCACATGAGATTTTAATTTTAAAATCTCATATGGGCCCCGTGCACTGTAACGAGAGAGGTGGTGTGGTTGGGAGTGTGGTAGAGGGTGTGCCCCTAGTGCCTCTCCAAAGAAATTGATACTCCGTGTCGTCAAAAGAAGAATAAAATAATAGGATTCTAATGTGTGGGAGCCTACCGAGAGAAAAGAGAGGAACAATTTTTAAAAATAACCCCATTTCTTTTTTTAATTTTTAAAATTAATATTTTTTTATTTATCAAAATCGATCCGTTTTTTGCCACGTCACTTTTCTAAATAGTCAGGGTTGCCAACCCTGACTATTTAAGACATAATTTTTTAGGGTTTAAAGCTTCTAATTGGGGGTTAACACCCTTCTAAATAGTCGGGGTTGGCAATCCCGACTGTTTAGGAAAGTGATTAGGCTGACGTGGCAAAAAACAGGTCGGTTTTGATAAATAAAAAAAATGATCGATTTTAAAAATTAAAAAACAAAATAGGGCTGTTTTGAAAAATTGTTTGAAAAGAGAGGGGACACTTTAGACACAGTTCAGAGAGACTTTGTTACGTTCGTATCGTTGTTATAGGTAATCAAACACGATCGCGATATAACTTTAATTAGATCCACAAGTGCAGTAGGACATCAAGCTAGGCTAGTAAAAATCATTGCGAACACAACATAGAATGATGTACACAATGTTGATCCGGTCGTGTTTTTTCTTTTTATCTTAGACCGAGATAATTAAAAAAGAAAAACAACAAAAATTTCCTTGTTAGATGTAGCATAACGGTACAGCTCCCAACTCCCTTTCCAACCACCGTCATACCTACATTTATAGCTCATGCCCGTACATCCACATGTATTTAGGGGGCATTTTATGTGGTAGCTTGCAACTAAGTCAATTTCGTCCACTTGCAACCGGATTGGCTCCGATTACATTTGCATGCAACTAAGTTAATTTCGTCCAGTTGCAAGTGTTTGTTTTGTTACAACTAAATATTACAGTCGTAACCACAGTCGCCAAACACCCTGCCAAGATTAATACGAATGTTATTCCCAAAAGAACTTGAGTGTTACAAAGGATAGGAAGAAAAAAATTGAAGTTATAGTACTCTTTTAGCTAAGTTCTTAGACATGAAACTAGAAAGAATTACCTCTAAATTTAAAAACTGCTGACATTTGGATTTAGTATCAAAGTCTAGCATACTGATTCTCTTTGCTTGGATAAATAAAAGGAGGCAAAGAAATCGGAATGAGGTTATGAAATGTACTGCGGATCCTTGCCAACTCAAATAAATGGGACGTCTCCTACCCAGTTTCCGGAAATTAATTTCTTTGACCGGCTCTTATTATTTGATAGGGACAGAAGAGAATAATTCCAACATCCAGCGTTTATACTTGAGGTCTGCTGCTTAACAAGTTTATGACTTTAGGGGGTGTTTGTTTCACTCATTTTGTGGAAAAGTTTCGAGAAAACAACTGACAATGACGTTATCGTAAATAATAGATTTCTGTAGATTTCTATAAACTATGTTTGGTTCCAAAAGAAATTATAGAAATATTTTATATAAAGTAGCGAAAAATGTACTATTTTATAGAAATCAATTTCCTCTCTAAATAGGTGGAGATTGTAAGTAAATCTGTCGCATATATTAAAAAATTAATTAAGTACACCAGTGTCATTCCCATGTGATTTTCCATGGGCATTGTTAGTAAGCTATTTTTATAAAGTGATATTCAACCAAACAAAAAATAATAATAATATATTTTCTATAAAGTTAGGAACTTTCTCATACTTTGAACCAAACAAAAAAATAGCAAAAAACAAAAAATATGATACTCTTTGAGTTCTATAAATTTTTTCTACAAATTTTATAGAAATACAAGGAAATTAAAATTTGAGTACTTTTTTTTCCTCTTTTTTATAGAAATTGAACAAAACAGCCCCTAATCAAAATTAAGGGATAGAAAAGTCCCATTAATTAATTATTTTTTAAAAATAAATAAATAAAAACAATTGTCACAATTTCGCCAAAAACATATACTAAAGGTCAAATCCATGTAAAATTTGAGAGGATAAGAGACCGAAAGCTGGTTGGTTTCACATGCAATGCTGGAGAATTCAAGTGTTCTCATGTGATATGAAGCCAAGCTATGGCTTTCAGAGGTCACCATTGATTAGAAAGACTTTAAAGTGGGATACCTTTTGGTATTTAATGCCAAAAGGATAAGAAAGAAGCTATGTACGGCTGACGGGGCCAACTATTCACACTCTCAAATAGTAACTTTGGGGGTGTGTGAGGACTAAATTGCCCTTCTCCCAAACCAAACCCTCTCAACATCGAAAGGGCATTTTCGGCAATCCAACTCCCAAAATTACTGTTTGGGAGTGGATATAGCAAACATGACGGCTGACCCCTTCCGACGTGAGCCTTCTCTTTGCCTCTTCCTATGGCTTGGAGAACAAAAATGATATTGTGCGCGGCGGGAAGCTTGACAACCAAACGGGCGTGCTTTGAGAACCAAATCAAACAAACACCGAGATAAAGGCCAAACAAATCAAAACAACGACACAAATCCAACCACAATAGTTTTACGTGGTTCAACAAATTGTCTACATCCAACCACAATAGTTTTACGTGGTTCAACAAATTGCCTACATCCACGGGACAAGAAAGGGATTAGGTTTTCACTAATAGAGAAGAAGAGTACAAACTGAGATTGCAAAACGCTCAAACCAATCAACTAATCTCACTAACAAATATCTTAATCTCTCCAAATAAACCCTCAAACAATTGCTCAGAAAAACTCTCCTTTTTCTGTGCTCCAAATATCCCCAACCAATCTCCAAACAAAGCCAAAGAAACCCTAATTCGTATGTTGGTATTTATAGTAAATACCAAACCCAAACTGAACAGGAAACCACTATTGGGCCTAACCCGTTACGCGGTTGACCGCCACGGTCGACCGCGACCAACAACAGAACCCAGAAATCCAATACAGAGTATGACGGTCGACCGCGCCAATCGACAGAGCCAAAGTCGACTACAGGGTACAGGCGGTAGACCGTGACGGTCGACCGCGACAAATCCAAAACACACCCTGAGCATGTGCACATTCGCGGTCGACCGACCTTGTGTCGCGGTCAGTAAATACCAAACCCAAACTGAACAGGAAACCACTATTGGGCCTAACCCGTTACGCGGTTGACCGCCACGGTCGACCGCGACCAACAACAGAACCCAGAAATCCAATACAGAGTATGACGGTCGACCGCGCCAATCGACAGAGCCAAAGTCGACTACAGGGTACAGGCGGTAGACCGCGACGGTCGACCGCGACGAATCCAAAATCACACCCTGAGCATGTGCACGTTCGTGGTCGATCGTCCTTGTGCCGCGGTCGACCGCACAGCTTCCAAACAGTTCCCCTGCGCTTCCAAAACCTGTTCTTCACCAAATTTCTCGCCGATTCTACAAATGATAGCATCAGAGGGCCGAAATCCTTCTTTCTTCTACTCACGATATTCTTTGAA